CCCAGCCCAGCTCTAACACCCGACTTATATAATCAACTTAACGAATCACGACGATAGGCTATGATTTGTTATCAGGTATGAGCTGGGCTGGAACAATCTTAAACACACTCCTGCCATTCAGATCTGGATCTGGGGGAGTATTAGATGTTATTGATATATAACGCATGCTCCACTCTCAAGTTGAAATTGAACTTGTTGACTGATGCCAAGGCGGCGGCTGCTAAGAAGGGAGCAGCAGCAGACCAGAAGACTGCAGCCAAGGCAGCACTGGTCCACACCTTCCCTGTCTGTTGGGTGAGTGAGTAGTATTGGTTGATACTGTATGTACCTTTAGGCTATTGTACTGGCCTGTGTGGTAGTCTTTCATATGTGTAGTAGTTTGTCGCATTGTATTGCTTAGTGTATTAATTGTGTCAACTTTGAATGTAATCTAAGCCACAGATTGTTCATGTCCTCCATTTTGTACTTGACCTTTATAGACGCAGGCCCGAAGATATTCAAGCAACACTTTGAGAGCAAGCATCCCAAGTCTCTAATGGTCGTATGACTGGTTGATGTGCAGGCCTAAGTGACCACACACACACTCAAATGGACCTACAGCTGGGGTAAGATTCTTCCATCATTCACACACAATAGACACAGTGTAAACCACCATGATGTCAACAAAATGCTGTCCTCAATGTTTAAATTGTATTGTGGATGTCTCAATGCTCTGATCACTCATCGTCTTTAATGTTGTGATTCACAGACACACGATGACCACGATCTATACACCCACCCTACCCTCATCCATTTTCCTTCAGTTGTTCTTCTCCCGATTTGATAACATCTAGACTCAGTTACATGCTTCTAAGTGTTGTGGTGTACTGTTTTTGCTACCTTTTTCCCACCTGTGTATTGCTGTCCTCCTGCTTATTCTGAGGTTCAGACTGAATGCAGTGGTAAATGTGCTGCTCATAATTGGCAGCAGCAACATGGACCTAAATTGACAAGAAGGGTGTTGATATAGCTGCGTATAGGCATGGCGCCCTTGTTTAAAATCTGTTGTGTGCATTTCTGTTTCTCATTCTTCTGGAGTTGACCTAGTATTTTGTATTAAACCTACCTTACGCATCCAGTTGTTTGTCCATTTGTAACTCTCCCACCAAAAAGCACAATATACTGTTTTACATGTGTTATTTGTGTTGGTCTAATTCCTGTAATGGAAAAGCAGAATAATATGTGTGCTCTTGAATAGTAATAATACTTAATATGGTGCTCTTCGATGTCCCAGGTTTGTGGCATTGATTAATAAATTGTTTAATCTTTACTTCAAGTCAGATGCTTATGTTATGTATATTAGATTTAAAATATTTCTTTAAAACAATGCAATTGTTGGAGTTCATGTGTTTGATGTGATTGATGGGTGACTAGGTTCATTCTTGTCAAAAAATATGCGTATTCGTTTATGATTATGGATACATTCTGCAATGAGTTAATCTCTGGCTTTGAATCTGCAACAGAACATGTCAACAAGTTGCTTCTTAAATTGGTTTAATACAGCAATGCATTCTAACACCATGAATTGAAATAGATTTCACCTCCTTCATATAGTTGGCAGAAATTGTAAAGGATTAAATATTAGATCTCCACCGGCTGAAGGAGAAGAGAATCTGATAAAATAAGGGTATGTTGCTAATATCATCTATGTAGGTAGCTAGGTAGCTAGCTAGCTTCTTTGCAGAAAACTAGGCTATTCATTGCACATTGTAAATGTCTGACTGCTGCAAGTATTCTGCACAAGACACAAAACCAAATGGATAAATAAGCCAACAAATATTAGTTAAATCAAATATGGAACAGTAAATTAAAATGTTAAATATATATTTCGTTTTGGATCAAGGTAGCTAGTTAGCTGACAGCAAAGGTGTCCGCTAGAGATGACGTGGGAGCTTGCAGGGATTTGTAGTCTTGCAGGATGTCTACTTTGATGCTAATTAGCGTTTTCGAATCTGAGAGTAAATAGAGCTCCTACACAAAACACAGTCCTTGTTTGAAGTGGTTCTAAAATCCCCTATGGGAAAAATGAATGGTGACAAAACGATTTGACTACTAGGTTTTATGGGTATTATGACAACAACACTGTGGTATGCTATTAGTCTATGTCATGTTAGGTAATATGTTCGATTTTTTTTGTATGTTTGTTATAGCAATGTAAAGATCACACAAACATGTTTTCAGACATCTTTATTTTATTTCTTAATGTATGGAAGAGTATTGGGGCCAAGCAAAGAAAAACAACAACAAATGATGCATGTCTACTTAGATCATTCTTTTTATTTATTTATTGAGTGATAATAGGCTACTACAAAAATCTAGAAATTTCGTAAATAAAGTGGCATTATTTCGAGAATGAAGTCGAAATTAAACTTCGAGAATAAAGTCGAAATATTTCGAGAATATACTCGAAGTGTAATTTTGAGAAAGTCAACGTTTCCAGAATAAAGTCGGTTATATTTCAAGATTCAAGTAGGGTGTTTGGTTAATTGCATGCCTCTCTGGCTCCCTGTTGAAATGCCTAAATTATATGACCTGGCTCTAGTAACAAGGACATCCTTGCTCTTTTAACACAAAATAACCATATTATTATAAGTATTAGGAGGAAGAGGTTGTGCTGCAGATTGGGTCTTTTCAGAAGGACGAACCACACAGACCTGGATGAGGTATTGGCTTTTGTGCAAAGTGAAATCAACAGTATTGTACGAAATACATATTAGGAATTTACTCATTCCTACTCTTCAGACCTCACCCCTCCCCTAGTCAAGTATCAGCCCTGCACTAGTCAAGTATCACTACTTCTTTTCAATCCTCACCCCTCCCCTAGTCAAGTAGTAGAATTCTAACATTGTAATGGGTTAGCCCAGATCCAGTAAGTGGAGTGGTTGTATTTACATATGGCGAGTGGAGTGCCAATATTATATTATATTAACTAACAACATTGTCATTTAAATGAATTTAATCATAGCTAATTATGATGAGGATCATTTACTATTGCCAGCTACATTTCCCCAATATTATACCTCCACATGTTGTGGCTTTATTGACTAAATTTAATTGGGACTGTATTCTAGAAAATTAATAAAGGAGACCCCATTTATTCTGGAAGTATTTCGAGTTTTTGAAATACTACAGTGCAACTCCCCAAAAAATCAAAGTACCACCCAGCAAGTTTTTCTTCTTCTCTTCACTTGGCCCTAATAGGCTACTCTTCTTTACTAATAACTTATAAAAGTAATTCCATAATAATGTCAACATTATAAAAAATAACCTATAAGCTTCTTTCCAATGGATTCCAGTTTAGGCTCAGTAAAGGGCGGGAGAATCTTGGCACTTGATAAAGGGGGCAAAACTTCTTGACACGCGTTGCCTCTCATTAACAGCGGTTAGCAGTGGTTAGCAGCGAGTGAGCCTTTACCTTGTAGGCTACATGGGCCTACTGAGTCAAACGGTTTTATGATGGTTAATATCTAGGCCTAATGATACAATTAGTGCATGCCTCACTGTGCTGTCAAGTTGCGAGCTGTGCTGTGAGAGATGACAGAGGGACGTTCTGGGCTATTGTATTATTCCACCACCATGATGCTATCATGCTGACAACATCATGAATAGGAGGACAAAACATAGCCTATAGATACTAGGCAACTAGGCGATTTTCAGTGTCACCTTCATGTGCAAGAAAGGCTTTGCTAATACTTGAGTTGGTTTCAAACTTTAACTCGCGCCACGGTGAGAATTACAGAGGACTGACATATTCAAAGAGCTGTCAAACTGCTGTGGTGTGATTAAGAAGCTGGTTTGCCTAGGGGGCAGGTAATTCACCAGGATCAGATATTTATATCGTTCATTCGATTGAGTTTAAATTGGTCGTTCTGATTGGAATTTTATCCTTTAAAAAAGCAGGTATAGGCCTGATAGGTTAACATTTACATTAGTGAATATTATAGTTATAACGTTTATTATTAAGGGTTAATTAAAGCCTACTGTTGGTTATAATTTGGTAAAATACAGGATAACGAACCATAGTGTGAAATATGGTTGAAATCGCATGTGCCATTTTATATAATTGTGTTAGTCCAATTAAGATCAACAATGCACCTGCCATGTTTTCATTAACATGTTATAACTGTCTATATGTTTTTTATTTTTTATTATAGCGGATAGTTTAGGTTTATAATTTGACTGTCAAAGTTTTTAATTTAATGTCTATAGCCTACATGGAATTAGCCAATTTCCATTGCAGGCCTGTAATGTCAACATAAAAAAAAGTATACATCTGCATCTACTCGAATGAGAGTAAACTAGAAATATCCCTAGGCATATACTACTCGTTGTTATTGGTATCTGATCGGTTGCGATTAGCGGGCAATACGCATATTGCCAACAAGTGACCTCTCAAAGCCAAAATCCCTGCTTGTCTCAGGGCCCGCATGCACCAACTTCATTAGGTGTCCATTATCAATTATACTTCTAAAACTTTGCGCTGATTTATGCATCGAATTTTTGGTAGCCTAATCTAAACCAATCGTATGCCAAAGGATGGCCAATTACACATAATTGTACATAGGAGACCACCTAATTGATTTGCAAACAATTAATTATAGCAAACCATTTTTTATTAAAAGTATTTGATTAATGAATGGCATTTCGACTTTGAGTTTACATGGAACGGACCTTTTACGGCAAAAATAGTTCTAAATGCCATTGGGCTATATTTAAATTATTCAGTAAATATAATTCTGGACTTTCTGTTTAAAATAAGTTGTTTATTATGTTATGTAAATCAAGGCACACACAGTGCACAAGATATTGTTTATCAAATCGTTCAAGTGACATTACATCAGTGGCTGAAGGAGTGCATTCAAAAACATATGTTAATGAACTTAATGAGGCTTTCCCGCAGGCTCCAGTGACATCATAGGTGCTCCAGACCAATCGGAGCGCGCGCTGATGGAAGGCAATGGGTTTGAGGCACACCGGCTCTACATGCAAGAGGTGTCTGGAGAATATTGTGAGGTGTAACCTACAAATGATGTGAAGAAGGATTGCCTTTTATTTCGTTTTTATTTCGTTTCACAGAGCCCTGGATATACATTTTATTCGTTTGGAATACCTTTTTTAATACAGGCAATGTTATTGACTTGATGGTGGATCCAGTTAAACTTTTCCTCGCTATCCGATATTGCTCAATGCATTCCTCTTTAGACCGACGGTTTTATGGACTTCTGTATTAACTAATGATGTCTATGGGTTTCATGCCTGATCGTTTGAATGCTTCAGACCCCTCCAAATCGGCATTTTTAGAGTTTGGGTACGAGCACCCTGCGCACCAGCAGCATTCCCAAGGAATCTCTCACATCTACCCCGTTAATGGCTTACATTCTGCCGGACATTCTCAACACGGTAGTCCCTTCTCCCCCAGTGCGTCCTCCTATGGCCGCTCCCTGGGCTACGCCTACCCCAGCGCGGTGAACGCTCATCCCCCGAGTGCCTACATGCCCTACCAGCACAACAATCACAGTTTGGCGCACTCCAGATTAGAGGAGACAGGTACGTGTAATATCAATATCTGCTTGTTCGTCATAGGCCTATAACATGTATTGTCTGTAACGTCAGTGTGCAAAGGCAGCGCGCTATCGCATGCGTGCAATGTAGGGTTAACGGTAAAAGGAGTATGGATTCTATGGAACTGTTCTATATAATGTATTGCAATTGTAGGCTGCATATTATCAGACACTTCTTTTTAGGCTACGGTAGGCCTATAGCCTACCCCAGATATAGGCCTACGTGCATTATAACGCTGTGAGTCTACATCTTTGATTACAAAAATGACAAAAGACTGTCCGAATCAAAGTTGGGCTAAAAGGCAATACATTGAATAAGCAATTTACAGTCAGTGTTACGGTAATCAAAATGTTTTCGAACTTTAAATGCATTTCAGGCATTTGAGGTTGTCTTTAGGCCTACTGCTAATGTTCCATAATGAACGCAGATGGTGTCATTAATTTTATTGACCATTATTTTCTGCGGGTTAGCTCGATTATGCATGAGTAGGCTACCTCAGAAACAGCCGTTCGTTTTTAATCCCATTATTAGTCCAGATTAACAAAACAATTCCCGAAAATACACTTTTAACACTTAAAACCAATGTATTCTATGTCAGTGGCCTTTCTAGTTTATCATTTTATTGACTGTCTATTGTTAAACGCTGGCGTTTTCATTAAATAGCTTATCAGACATTTGGGCATGCAGCCTGAATTCCAGGCTGTGAATTTCTATGTTGATACGAACTCTCAAGTAGATAAATAGGCCTGTGTACAGCGAATAGGCTTAGAACAAAAGAGAACAATATATTATTACATTGAATCTGTTCTGAAACCACATAGGCTTCCTGTTGTGCAGGTGGGCTTTTACATCTTACCCAGAGACAGGCCTTCTCATGAAGTTGTTTGTAAGGCTATAGGCAATGGGTTTGGCTAGGCCTACATTTGAAATTGACCATTTCAGACTAGACTAGCCTATATAAAAAACATATGAGTCCCTGAGATATGAATATCTGTCTTCCTCATTATATGTTTGAAATATAGCCTATATCTAATTTTATGATAATAAGAGTTGTCTTTCCATTATCTGTCACAGTCGAAAGGAAGTTCAAGCGTGCGATAACAACTCTCCTGTAAATCGTTTCTTCTGCCCTGATGTAAAGTGGAAAGTTGTAAATCAAAGTGAATGTAGGCCTAGGCTACGACAGACTAGGCTACTAGGCTACTGTTCAGCGCAGCTAGACTGAAATTATCTCTTCTATCCACAGACCATGAGAAGTCTACAGTGATTGAGAACGGGGAAATTCGCCTGAATGGTAAAGGAAAGAAAATACGCAAACCTCGGACCATCTACTCCAGTCTTCAGCTACAGGCGCTCCACCAGAGGTTTCAGCAGACCCAGTACCTGGCCTTACCCGAGCGCGCGGATCTGGCGGCAAAATTAGGGCTGACCCAAACACAGGTGGGCTAAATTTAACTCATCAAGAGAAGCAAATGGGATTTTAAAACGATATCTTATCTCAGTAGGCTAATTACCAAATTAAAATAAAATGTTTTATTTCTAGGCCATCCTTATGTTCAGACCTTGTGTTATGTCTTCAGCCTAATCTACATTTTATTAAGTAGGCCTAACAAACCAAATGGTTTATAACAATTAAAGTGGAGTGCCGACAAGCTATAGGTACAAAACATCTAATTAATTGTTTTAAATAAAAAAAATATTTATTTAACTTTTCCCTTATTCATTTCAATCTTGGAATATCCATTGTTCAAATTTGCTTCAAATAAAATCAAAGATCTAAAACCCTCACATATCTTAATTCTGCTGCGAGACTATATGTAAATTTGTGCACAGTTCAAATTAATAGCCTTGTTGACAGAAGTGAGAGAGAATTAAATATTATGCAAAGCTGTCTAACATCATTATGACAAAATGTTTCAGAAATGTTGACATGAAACCTTTGAACGTTACAGACAGGTTATTTTTTGAAAATGTGACACTAATACTTCCACAAGTTTATGTTTGTGGTTGATTGAAGAAAAACATAAAACAACCTTCCCCCTTGGTTGAATGGGGATGGGGGTTTAAGATGGATCACAGATCTTTGGGTTTAAGATGGATCACAGATCTGTGGGTATTATTGCGGCTTTCTGCACTGCAAGACCAAATGAAACGGCTAATTGGAGAGCTTTGCTACGTCAATCTCTTAATGCAGCTTTATTCTCTACACATATTCTTAGTCTTATATTACCATTGTGGCTGAAACCTTCTCTGAGAGCTGTCTGTGGCTTAAAGCGAACATAACTCAATTGAAATATTGCATGTACAAATTGGCCTAACCGAGTAACAGAACGACAGAAATATATTTCGCCACTCTAAAGTATAGGCCTATGTGTTGTCTTTCTAAACAACAGTGTCTAGCAATGTTTTCCTACAATTACCACCAATCATTTGGATAAAGTAATGTTAAAACACACTTACATACATTACCGCAGAAATGCATATAGAGTAGTACAATGAGGGCAGTGGGCACATACACACACACACATACACACATACATACACGGTTTACACATTTTAACTGGAAAAATAGGACAAAGTAGACTGTCATGCAGATTATCTATATATTTATCATCAGACTAAAGCCTTTGTTGGCATTATTCATTTATGTCAGGTGAAATTATGAAATCTAAGGAGGAAGTCATGGCAACCATTTTCCTTGGATCGGTAAACATAATGGAAGGCACATAAACAGGTGGTGAGCATAATGTTTCGGTCCAACATCTCACTATGCACATCTGTCTCTTATGGAATCAATCTTCAAGCCTTAAAACATTGTTTTGCTCAATATATTTTATAGGCTACTCTTCTATTCCAGATCTAAATCAATAGCGTTTATATGTAAACGTAAAGGTTGACTGAATTAAGCTGTCATTCAAAACACTCCCTGGCTAAATCAAAATGGTGAAACACACTATCCTATCTGGGTCTGATTTGGATTTGTGTCCTGTTGCCATATTTGAGAATGGTTTGACCACCTCGGGCTCTCTGGGTTTTTATTAATATTTTATACCGTCGTAAAATCGATCAAAATCGCATGTTGTTCTGACTCAGCAGAATACATCATAAATAGAAATACATCTGACGTCCCTCCTTTTTATTTTACTATACTTTTAGCATGGGATTGTTGTTGCTAGACTCAAGCATTATTGGCCTCATAAAATGTTGAACAATGGGGGCGATAGCATTTAATGAACTAGTGAAGTGTCGCTCATCCATTTAGCTGAATTGCTAAATGGTTCTGGACGAAGAAATGTGTTCAAATTATAAGAAGTTTCAAGAACGAATGCCATCTTGAAACCGGGCCATTTTCCTTTCGTTATTATGGCCCAAATATCAATGTAATTTCGAAATGATAAAATGTGAATATAAATGTAACAAGTCCCCTTCAAATGAAAATACTTTCTATTGTGAAGATAATTGTTTAATGATTGTGGTGGTGGTGGTGGTAGTGGGGTGTGATGGCGTAGGCTGTAATGTGCTGCTTTCCCCTCATATTTTCTCTTTTTAGGTGAAAATATGGTTTCAAAATAAGCGCTCGAAATATAAGAAGATAATGAAGCATGGCAGCGGACCGGAGGGGGAACATCTCCACAGTACGTCATCTATCTCTCCCTGTTCACCCGGGATGCCCCAATTTTGGGAGGTGTCAATGGCAAACAAAGGGACCCCTATGCACCCCAACAATTACATGAACAATTTTGGTCACTGGTACCCAAACCATCACCAGGATGCTATGTCCAGACCTCAAATGTTGTGAGCGAGCCATCTCAACACATTGCGCGGTGCTGTAAAACGCCACCCAGCCATTTAGAACGTTTTAAAGGCCTAAAGGCCTATAGGCTGCCTATACCCAAACGCAAACGTGTTTCATCTATCAAGTTTGAATTGTGTGTAAACGTGTGTTAAATGTAAATTGTATTTTTTTCTTTTATTGCAATGTATGTTTTTGGATGACGATTTGTTACGTAGGCCTATGGTTATTTCTTATGCGTCCACTTTATGCACTGTTCTTTAGATTGGAACGGCTTTGTTGAGAATTGTGCTGGCAGGTGGCAACATGCTTATGATTTGATTCCAGCAGGGTACATGCACCTGAATATGTGTGTCGACTGGTTATGACCGTTTTATTGATGTGATTAACAGGAGTGCACCAGTCCACGTTTGAATTCCTAGTCTCAGCAAATAGGAACTCATTATGCAAATAAATGTCAGAAATGTTTGACATAAACAGTATTGAATTACAGCGTCAATTATTGTGAAGGTGTCAATAGTTTTTGATCATTTTAAAGTGCTTTGTGGGAGATATATAGCCTGGATGCAATACACCTCAAATTAAATGATGTATGGTTAAAATATGATAATGAAAATCAATGAAAATATAATCACTTAGCTATTACAAAACTGCAAGCCAAGGTGGGGTAATATCCTACTGTACTAAATAGTTTACCCTACTAATTCAAAAGAAACCCTTTTGCCGTGATATTGTATTGGCAGTGCCGTGACCCGGAATCGAACAGGGGTTGTTCCGGCCATAACGCAGAGTACTAACCACTAACACGATCACGGCGTGCTACCAGAGCTGGTGCGTCTGTGGGAGATAGTGGGAGTTTTACTCCAGCCTGCAGTGACGTGGACAAGCGTGTAAATATCGGCAGCTGTTCGAGTCCAAATTGAAATGATTCTGTCTTGATATTCTATCGAAAAACTACTGTCTGCATAGTAGCATATCTTTCTTAACACTATAGAATACTTGAAAAAAAAGTTCCATATAGAACCCCAAAGAACCATTTGTTTCTAAGAGTGTAGGCCAGTTGTTATTTTGTCTTTATTTTATAGAGTATTCGAAATAAATTATGATTACGCGCGTGGGTAGGCCTATAGGCCTACTCGTCAATAAAGATATAGACCTAGACTTCTTTCAGATTAGTTAAGCCTACAATATTGGAAGCCGTCAATGTTCAGTAGGTATATTGTATTTAGTTAGATTTTATTGACATTATAAATATGACAAGAGCCGTGCCATTGGTCTTTAATCTGAATTGCAAAATGACTATCAACAATTCGAATCTATACGGAAAACCAATCAAATATTAGTTTTTAAACATGATACATGTATAATTGTGTTTCTTATTAATGTACAGAGTATGCTTGTTTTGCTTGCACGGAATTTCAAATGCGAGCCCCTCTCTGTACAATTAAGGAGGTCAAAGCTTTGCTCTCATAACATCTGGATGAGTGAGACATCGTCAGTGCTTCGTTGAATGGACCCACCTAAAAAGGTAATTTCGACAGTGTTTGTTGAATAAAGCATTCATTCGTGCGGGATAATTACCAGCTATTCAAAGTCTACAAAATATCACTCCTCATAAGTGGAAGAAAGGACGAATGTCCACGAGGAGAAATAGGCCTTGTCCTACTGAGGGAACAGGGAACGTTTACCACCATTCGCACGAGACAGGTGTTCGCCTATACCAGCAGGGCAGTGCTATCGTGTCACATTAGATGTTTTCTTAATTGATTATGAATAGTCATTATCCTACATAGTCATGACACCGGTAAATAAAACGTTTCCAATAAGGTGAGGACATTTTCATGTAGCCTATGAGAAAACAGACAATTAAAGCATGTTCATTTAATTACAATGGAGGGGGAATCTTTTTCTGCATATTTTTGTTTACACCGTGGAATTATAAGGGAACCCTTTCTGTTTTGCATTTTGTAAGGGACGTATAAGGATGTGAGGTTTTCCTCACTTTTTTCCTCACTTTTTTGCGCTGTTTGCCTTTTTGTATAACAAAAGAAGACGTCGTGAGTAGAAGGGAGCAGGCATTGCCACATTTCTAACTGTATTTCCCCCCTCTCTCTCTTTGATTAAATCCAGGAAGAAAACTGTCTTTGTCATAATAAAATGATAAATGAGTGCATTATTCGATCACGAAGCAGTGCCTGATTAATAGTACTTCGTACTGATTTGCACAGTCGGGCGTTTAAACTGTTTAAACATCGGGAACAAGCTATTTATGTTACTTTAATCAGTATCCACTGGAGCGAACTGATGTTATTCAGTATGGTGCAAATTGCGTCGTGGTGAGCTTGATTAATGACATCGAATGCACACGTTTTGGAAGCAAATAACAAGTATTTTCTTATTTTTCACAGATCACCTCTTGTTTTCAGGGTCTTGTCAAAAATATGTCCGTTCTGTAAAATCCATTATTAACATTTTAATTTACTTGTAGCCTAAAAATGTAAGATTACTTGAATTAATAATTGCATTCAGGGTTGTTTTTATCATAAGAATATTATACGGTGGTTGTTTTTGAGCGTTTTTTTGGTAGGCATGAGATAAAATAGCATTTCGAGTCTCTTTGAATGTGATGTCATTTTGGGGCCCAAGCCAATGATGACCTTCTGTGACCTTGTTCAGTTCACAGAACACGGCATACTTTAATTGAGATCATAGTATAAGGTTAACTGCAAAATTAACAACATTGCTAAATTATTCATACGAAATGTGATTAAATACAACACGATCTGTTTGCAGAGATGTCTATGAATACCTTTGAATAATTCTAGATTTTAGTCTTAAACTTAATTTTCCTTAATTATAGTTCGTTTCGTATATATCATGAACAAACAATATGGAAACATAGAAATATAATAACACAGGATGAAACACTGTTGATCCACCAAAATCATATCACCACTGCCTCAGCGATTGTGCATAGACGTACCTTTAACAGGGGTCTCCCGATGCCATACAGTAGAAAAATGGGAAAAAACAAATATCCTTATGTTCCCCCTCCTGCAACAAGATAAAGAGAACTATTGTGTTTCATTTACATTTCCTCTCCCTGCATTCTTTCTTTATATATACCCCACTTTCCCTTTCTCCATGTGCCCTGGGAAGAAGAAGAGGAGGCAAGTGTTGCTGAATAAAGTGACGGGGCATCAGACAAAATTATAGGCAATTTCACATCTCAAGATTAGAATAATGGGTGCTCAAATTGGACAGAGTAGGGCATTTCAAACAGGGCAATTATCAGGCAGATTCAAGAGAAACTCAAAAGACTGTTCATGCTACAGAAGGGGAAGGGAGAGTGGGAGATGGGTGATGATGTGGATAAAATAAATTATAATGAATCAAAGCTATGGAGGCCTGCCTGGTTTATCAGGATTGGAGGTGCACTGTAAACCCCAATGTGCTGTCATTACTCAAAACTTTTGCACTTAATATATCTGAGTACAGTTACTTAAAGTTATTTTTTTTTTACTCAAACCGATAGTCACTGTGACCCTGTAGGGGGTCCAGATTTGACTTGTATCAGCTTGAAAATGTTGAGTAACGCTCCTCCACCAAGCCACGCCCCCAATATAACATCCCAGTGTGCCTTGCATTTTTGAGTGAATTGTGGAGTTATCACCCATGACTGTGTTTGTTAGTGACAGAGACATACAGTACATGGTTGTTGAATTCATTAACTTTCAGTCCTGTGGCCTTCACCAAGTGAGTTCCTAAGCGAGTCTTATTGTTATAATTAAACTCTTTATGACATTACATATCTCTTAAGGCCTTATTTTGAGGCCTAGCAACATTTTGGTAACTTTCCCCAAATAAAAAAATTAAATCTGGTTGAAGCATTTCCAGTAATCTTCCAACCGGGATTTCTGGAAAACCTGGGAAATGTACCAGCATTTTGCAACCATAACTGTGAATCACGTTCTGCTGGCTTGCAAAGTGATGTGTAATTCCTGTTGGAATCCAGCCAGAGTTAGAATATTCAACAGTTGGAATTTTTATTCACCTGCAACCTGCATTCATAATGATTGCCAGGATTGGAAACAGTGTGAAGAAACTACCTAAACCATTGAAACTGGAAAAAAACGTTTCAGTAACGGGTACAAAAAATCTAACTAAATGATTGGATTAGTTTCGTAATATGTTGTTATTTATCTTTGTGTAGCATAAGATTAATCAATCACTCAATGTACATGAAAAAACACAGATATTAAAAACATTCCAAAAAATCAGCATGCAGTAGAGCATGCTGGGAAAAAAGTTCATTTGTTATCATAACTTTAAAAAATAGAGTTGATGTGACTTCTCATTTAGTTTTGAGTCCATACCACAATTTTTACAAAGTAATAATTAATTTTCATTGACTTTAAGTTCAATTTACTAGAAGTATTTGAGTTAAAAATGCCTTGGGGTTTACAGTGTGTCTGGTGGATTTTAATTGCAGGATAGCAATGAGAAGGAAAATGGGGATGTTATTACAGTAAATCCCAGTTGCTTCAGCGGCGTCCGAATAGCAAAGCTGCTCTATGGTGATTATTGTTATTAACTTGAGTGATCTGACATCTAGTGTAATTGTGTGCAGCTTCCCATTTGGAGAGAATGACCAGGTTTGGTTTCATTTGAGGGAATGGTTGACTCTTGGGCACAATGCTACACTTTGGAGGGATTAGAATTATGACATACACACACACACACACACACACACACACACACACACACAGAGAGAGAGAGAGAGAGAGAGAGAGAGAGAGAGAGAGAGAGAGAGAGAGAGAGAGGCAAACTTCAACCTTTGCACACAACAAAAAATTAAAAATATGATGACACTCCCATCAATGTTTATGCTGGCAGCCTACCAAGTAAACGCCACAATCATGGTTTATCAAATCTACCAACAATCACGATCTAACTGGCTTTGGTACCACCACCCTCCATAGCCCTGAGGTCAACTGGGGTTCAGGAGTCCACAGCTGTCAAGAATGCCTTTCTCATTTCATTTACATTTGCAGCAAAATGGTGCTGGTGAGTGATTCCAATGCAAGGGGGAGACATCAGGCTTTGAATACGTGTGGGCAGCTGCAAACAGTCTTTCCATGGCTACATTTGCCATCCTGACTACATGTCAACCCCCAGTTCAACCCATTCCCTGGAACCTCAGAGACCTCTGTGACACCATGCTGTTGACTGTTACTGTGCTAGGGGAGGAGAAGAGCTCAGGATCCTTGGCACAATCCCTATTTAGGGCTGTTCTGATGTGTTGCCATGCAACTTCCATGCCATATCACATTCAAGTTCAACAGTTCACGAGCAGCCAGGGCACTTATACTTGCTAAAGTTTTGAGATTATATAGACACCTTTGTGACCGCTTTGGCCCACACACACCAGCCTAGAGCCAGAAGCCACCCGGTGCATTTGTCTTCAGCAGAAATAGATCCCCTGACGACATATAAGCAGCTAGCGCGTCCATGGGCCACACATGGTGAGGGAGGCACAGAGGGAAGGTCATGTGTGTATATATGAGATGTCAAAGATAGCAGCGATATGTATAGTGTGTATCACGTCAGCCATTTTCGATCATGATACTTACAGTAAAAACCCAAAGTAAATTAATGTTACTGTAATTACAAGCAAATATAGTCAGTGATGCTATATGGCTTTAAAATGGGATGGTTATGACTGAGGTGCTGTATGTGGCTTAACTGGTTTTGAAAGTGAATAGTCTTTTAAAGGTGTGTTATGTTGCATGATGAACAGTTGTATTTCTTTGAATAGTCATCTGTATTGAAATTGCCTAAATTATGGCATTTATTCTTATTACAAATTTAAAAACAGTTTTATTGTGTAAAACAACTGGATGGGGGGGGGATTCCACAGGGTGAGTTTGCTGTACACGTAAATTATGTTTTTGTGCCCAATGGCGCCCATGCAGCGCAGTAGTGTCGTTGGTGGTCCATCTGGTTCTATCAACCATTAGCGGTTTGTATGTCGTATGATTTTAGCAAGATACTTGATAATCTTGAGGTTATGTGGTCAGTGTTAAGGGCATGCGAATTAAAAAGAACAAGAAAATAGAGAAACCAATGACTGTAGTTTGTGATATGAAGTCACATTCTTTATTATGGAAAATACGATATGTTATCTATTGCACAAAAGTTATTTTATGAAATATCTGTGGCATCTTGTCAATATATTACATTGGTGACAGTTTTATTTACGAAACGTGATGATTGATGTTGAATTTTGCTTATGAGATTATATGGTCCTCTTATCTTTTTTCTTCAAAATAAAATGTAATAATTCAAGATGTAATTGGTTGAATTTCCTATAGGTCTGTGCAGATGCACGCACGCAATGCAAACACACACACACACACACACACACACACACACAAACACACACACGCCTTAAATGTACAATGAAGTATACAGTCGTCCTCAAAATGTGTTATCACCTGTTGACTGAATCTAGAGATAACACAACCAAGGCTTTCCTGAATTACTCCAGCAAAGAATGGGTTAAAAATATTTGGCACATTTTCTATCCTCTGATTCTCTTGTTTTGTGTCTATGAGTGTGTGGGTGTTTGTGTGTGTGTGTATCCCTGAGGCAACAGCCTCCGTCGGCTGTATTCTTTCTTGTTATCTGGCAACAGAATACTAGTAAAATAAAGCGACTCCATGATGTCTGCTTGCCATTCGCCTCCTACAGCCTCTTTGTACGCAGCCCAAAAACCAAACCTGGACCTATACTGACTGCATCAAGCTTCAGGGAGGCAGGCAAGCTGTCACACAGACAGATGTAACCCCTTCCGGGTGTTGGCCATAAAATATTTGGTGCAACACTCAGCAATGAAGAAAACAATTACATAAATTAAACATTTACGAGATACATCAACAAATCTCAGATATGCTTAGAATTAAGCTGCCATGTTTGTTCTATTTTTTGTGTCTGTTATTTCCTGTCGACTGGACCAGCGAAACACAGAAGAAATATGATATATTTATTTAGAAGTGATTAAAGTGAGGTAAAACGTTGAAAAAAATTGCCATCAGTTCAAAACACAATATTCAATTGATATCTTTATTCTTTTTGACAGAAAGGCAATAATAACATACTAATTACAACGTGAATATAAAAGGTTCGCAGCACCACAGTGCGGTATTTCCATTCCAAACAAATATGATCTTAGTGGTTCTGCTTTCTATTAACACCTATGTACAGCCTTCTACATTTTGTACAAATCTATATAAATTATGACCTGAGTTTCTGACTCATGTTCTGCAAACACATATCCACGATTTAATATGGATCAACTGAACAGTTTTGTCATTATTCTTCCCGTGGTAGGTAAGCTAGCCTACAGTAAAAATGGGTTACACAGCGTTTCAGGGAAATACCTACTTTCACCTTTGTCAGGTCTACGTCCAAAACAAGCCAGCGCCAGCTTATACTTTTTAGAGCTCTGTAAAGTTCAGTTGATGTGGAAGGGCCTCGTATTACAACTCTATGTTTAGTCTTTTTTAATAAACAGCCCCAACGCTTTGCTGTGGTACTGGGTGATGCACTGCGCCGGGGTGCTGTAGATGCGATCCCTGTTGGTACCAGTGGTTGTTATAATCCTCCAGGTAGGGGGGCGACGAGCTGCGGGGCGGCTGCGGGACCTGGGACCTGCTGGGCGGGTTAGTGAGAGAGTTATTGTCCCAGACCGTAGGCGATGGCGGGGAGTTGCACGTCATGGAGTCGCTGGCATTTGGGCTGTGGTCAAGGGGAATCTCGCCGTTCTTATAAAGCTTCTTGAATTTGGACCTCCGGTTTTGGAACCAAATCTTGACCTGTTAGGAAAGAGATGTTATTAGCCTGAAAGTCATGTTCAAACAATGAAAATCGTAATTTTGATAATAGCCTAAATAACTAGTATCGTTTTCAAAGAGGAAAATATTATTTTCAACAAAACATCTGCATTTAAAACAATCATAGCATCAGCAGGCCTAGGCCTACATATAAAAGTAGGCCTACAGGCCCACATTATAAGCACACCTGGCTCAAGAAAACACATAAAAAACGTTTTTGTGTGAACTTTTGTTGTCGTTGCCAATATTCAAATGCAATATCTTAATAAACTATGCTTTTTATTTTTATTTTTTATTTTTTACAATACAATGAAAAAATAGCGTAGGCTTCCTATGAATAATTTGATATTTACCTGTGTCTGTGTCAGACCGAGTTGAGCAGCAAGTTCGGCTCTCTCGGGGAGGGCGAGGTACTGCGCTTTCTGAAAACGTCTCTGCAACGCTGCTAGTTGGTAGCTGGAGTAAATTGTTCTCGGCTTGCGGATTTTCTTTGGTTTTCCATTCACCATACGAACTTCAGGCTCGGGTTCTTCTTTCACTTTAAAGAAAGAAGCAACAATTGTATTGTTAGTTCTCAGTATCAGTTTATGAAAAACATTTAACAATGCCAAAACAATGTAATAATAATAATGATAATAATAATAAGTCATCATCATTATACATTTCATGTTATTATTGTGATAATATATTATTACTATTATCATTATTACATTGTTATATGCTAGTTGAAATAGCAATATTTCCATGTTGCAATGCTAAAAGATATGGAAAAAGTCTCGATCATGCTCAGCCTGCTATAATAACCTCAAGAGTCGGTCAACATTTGATATAATACCTAAATATCTGGCAAGTGATTCGCAGACAGTTGCTATCACTGCAATTACTAACCATAATGGTTTATGACTAGCTGTTAATAACTGGCTATATTCTTAATCAAAGGCTATCAATCAGCACATTGGTTCCAACTTCAGTATTGTAGTTTTACTCTATAGTAACATGTAATAAATCCCACCTATAGAAAATAGAATTTTAACAGTTGAAATGAATTATATGTCTGAAACCCAAATATGACTATGATAGAGCAGGCCCTTTAATTGTTTTCGCTATCTCTGCTATCTCCTTCTATTTCGATTAACTGCAATAGTCAACCAATATATGTTACGCAAATGTTTCTCAGATAGAGCAAACCTATACAACATAAAACTACCCAAGAAGCTACACTAATGTTTTTTTCAGAGTATGTGTGTAGCCTTTCCTCTCTCTCTTTACGCATACACGGAAACAATTCAGTGAGTCAACTTCGAAATGAGGCAAAATATAACACAGAAATAATTCAAATATTGTTCAGTATTACCTGAGCTTTGAGGTGAAGCCTGCAGATTATCTCTGTTGTAATGTCCATATTGTCTGTAGGCATTTGTGTAAGGGTATTCAGACTTGGTGGGATAAACTCCCGCACCACCCATTCCATTCAGATTAAATTGGTGATGGTAGGCATTCATTTGTTGCCCGTATGTTTGACTCTGGTAATATTCGTGATGGCTGTGAGTCGTTTGTCCACTGTAGTAGCCCATGTCCGTGACTGAGGACTCGGGAAGAGTCGGAGAGTCCTTGGAGCTCGGATGGCAACTCATAGATCCGGGGAGATCGGTCAAAATGCTCGCTATCTTCTTTTCATAAATCTGTCCACTCATCATGGGTCGCAGCCCTCTATAGACAAGAAAGTCCACGATAATTCGTAAATACAGAAAGTTTGTGCAGTAGTGTTAAAATAAATTGCAGTGAAGAGATGTAGTCAGATGTGCGCCCTAAACGCAAGTCCTTGGAGAGCAAGTCCTCAAACTCTCCTAGCTGTAGTAACTCAGTTGTGGCAGCGCTCTACCCCGGTGAAAATGAATTATAGAGCGCTGGGTTGGATACTGCGTTTTCATTGGCTCCAGTCAATACTTTATTTCCTCTCCCTCTTGTCCTCAAGGCGAAATGGTTGCGCTCAGTACGTAAAAACCTACCCTTGACCAAAAGTGCCTAAACACGCATGCCTTTTGGCGCGTAAAGTCTGGCTTTTTGAGACAAGTTAGCGTTATTTAGCTGTTGACAGCATCACTCCAAAGCATAGCAAAAAAGCTATAAACAAACTTTGCATGGCTTCTTGAGTGATTCTGTGCTTTGTTTGAAATGGAGCTCAAAGAGTACTGGCAATATTGTGGCCTACTACGTATCCCACTGTAGCCAGAACGTTTGTCTCATTCCTTGTCCTTATTCTTGAGAAGAGCTAAGATACAGAGTTACGACAACGTATTTACTTGTTCAAAGGGTCCAAACTGTGCCCCTAGTCTATCCATTCTAATTCAAAATTAGAAGAGATCAAAAGGATAAGGAAACCATTCCATTGACTGGCTTTGGGGTAATTATTTTGTTGTGTGTGTGTGTGTGTGTGTGTGTGTGCATGTTCCAAAATCTATGTAAGTCTCCAAAAACAACAAACTGTTACTGTTATTGTCATTCTGTTAAAGGAGTGCTCATCAAAAATTATATGAAGTAGATGCATGAAGTAACATTACTTCCAGGTTCTGTCGTTTTTTGGTGATATTGTCATCATCCATGGTCTTTAGTCTACCCCAAGGTTCTAGTCATTTTGAAAACCTTCCATGATATTCTACGCAATTTAAAAATAATTAAAGAAACACTCAAACAAAAAATGTCTTTATTTTTTAAATTATTAGTTATTCTGGTGAGCGAATGTTGAAAGCATGGGCAACACTGCTCCCTAGTGTATGGTTTAATGATTGTGGCAAAAGTTGATGTGCTGATATATACATATATATATATATATATATATATATATATATATATATATATATATATATATATATATATATATATATATATATATATATATATTGCGATCTGTAAGAGGGATAATTAATTACTTTATATAGCTGCTTTAATTCTAGGAAACTCGTCACCAAAGAAGAATACTTACATACTTAGTCTTCCTCGTCCCGAGTGGGATATAAGGACACAACAATCTTCTGCCACTGGAGTTTGTCTTTGGCCACAGATTGTGCCCTGTCCCATGGAATACAGCCAGCAAGACCTGATCAGAGACAACCTACAGGTAATGTATGTCAGTTTTGAGATTAGAGAACATCCTTGTAGTGCTACAGACCATCCAACAGGTGGCGTACATGTCACATCTTTAAGCTTTACAACTCTCTCTCGCACACACACAGGCACGCAAGCACACACACCCAAAGACATTGTATATTGTATTCACATGCCTACTATGGTTCCTGGTGGAATGTTGTGTTATCTAGATCTGATGTCATGAAGGCTTCTGCTGGAATGGTTAGAGAACAGAAGCAAATGAAAGATTCATTGTTAGTAAGTATCCTAGGCAGACATTATTTTCTGAATTTCATTTGTACAGTAGACCAAGCTGCAGAATATACTCTCACAACAACTATATATATCACGGTAAAAAGTAGCTTCAAGGAAGTATTTTGTACTTCCCTAGGGTAATGTGTTAAACTGGAGCATCTGGATGTGTTCCAGAATAGGACAAAGGCTCGGGCATCTCACTGTAAACCAGTAATTACCGGCTAACAAGGGTTTGGTCCATTGACTAACTGGATTGAGCTTACCTTTTGTGGGAGACATTCTAAATGGAGCCATTTTCCTTGAGGAGAGTAATTTTCTGCCAAACCTCTCAAATCCGTCTAAGAGCCAGCTGGTAGCCCCCTAGGCCTAAAGGGGTGTCATTATGTACTGTACCGACTGACCAGCAGACTACAGCAAGTGGAGACATTAGACAGACTTTTGGAACTCCTACTACAAGACTTTAGGACTGTAATATGACAATGGTCACATTCAAACCAAATGCGGGGAGGTTGATTTTGCTGGAGAAATTACACTTTGAGAAAATACTTTTGTGCTGAGACAATTGGAGTGGAGCCACTACCTAAAACAAGACTGGGTACTTCACCTGTGAAGTTGAACAGAACAATTTGTCAGCTCTTTGAATGATCTGTCTACCCTCTATGTCACTCGTTGCTCTCTTGTTCCACACAAAGTACCTATTTAGTTTTCAGCCTTTTGTTATTGTTAGTCTGCTTCTCCTCTCAGGAGACTGATCTGTTCTCATGTTCTCTGCTTGAAGGAAAAACCCTCACACTTGTAGGTAATTTAGTTAATATTCCCCTATGGTGATACAGAGGGGAAAGTTTCATGTTGAGCTTTAGAATGATAGCAGATTATTATAGAGGCAGGCCTATTTCTCCAGGCATGTGCAAACGTGCCGACATGCCTGCAAGCGCAAGAAAACACCCACAAGGAGAGGAAATGTGCATACTTACATGCCCAGCACAACACGTGTATGCACACACGCACGCACACACACACACACACACGCACACACACACACACACACACACACCCACACACACACACACACACACACACACACACACACACACACACACACACACACACACACACACATACAAACACACACACACTGTAGACTAAAATATGCAAGCATGAACATACACACATAGTGTATACCAGGGATCATCAACTAGATTCAGCCGCGGGCCGATTTGTTCTTGAGCGGATGGTCGGGGGGCTCGAACACAATTACAAATAATTTGTAGACTGCAAATTGACCGCAAGAAGCCAAAACAAATACAGTATAATGTTTGACTAAAACACAATAATTAAAACCTTGCTTACATTTGCATACGATCACGTGTCTCTCTTATGTGTGGGAATACTTGGGAACATATTTCTTAAATTAAAATCTCTTGGAGATGATTTCCTGGTGTTTTTACAGTCTTTTCTGTCCTACAACGGAAAAAAAAAAATATATCATTTATTTTATTTTTTCTCAGAAAACTTTGGGGGCCAAATAAAACCACCCACGGGCCAGTTGGGCAACCGTGGTGTACACCCTGCAGTGGATGCTGTCTAAAAGTCCCCCTAACCCCAGTGATACAACCCCCACATGTATAAATCACCAGAGACAAAGGCCCACTCGTATTGACCATCTGCTGGCTGCAATAGGCTTTAAAGGACATTCCTCTTTCTGTAAATGTTTTCAAGAGTTAACACACTTCCGCTCCCAATGTTTCCCCACAGTCCAGCCCATTTAAGATGACCCTTGGAGTGTGTGTGTGTGTGTGTGTGTGTGTGAGCATGTGTGTGTGCACACAGTCTTAGAGGCAGGTGCATGCAACTCTCCATGACATCCCATCCCACAGCCGTGTGCTTTGAAAAAGGTTGTGACTTGCATCAGAGGAGATCCAGAGAACATATTGGATTTCAATCATGTAATATGAATGGGCACTCTCAGCAGATGAATCCAAATATATCTGATCATTACATGAGAGATAAACTGAGTGGGTGTAGTACCTGCTAAACAGATTTGCTTTCTTCATTGATGATAATGGAGCTATTAGCTAGTCTATTCATGACTCACTAGAGGGTACTTAAACAAGTGTCCACTTTAACCCTCCCGTTGTCCTAGGGTCAAAATGACCCGCCACTGTGTTGAACCAACTTTATTTAATTTTTATATTTTTTGGATCATTTGTGAGAAGGAGGCAGTGATACTTTCTTTAAAGTCTCACTGCCTCCTTCTCAAAAATGATCCCCAAAATATAAAATTAAATAAAGTTGGTTCAACACAGTAGCGGGTCATTTTGACCCTAGGACAACGGGAGGGTTAAAAGGGTGTGGTTACATAGACGTGGGTTTTAAACTAACAACCCTGGGGGTATAAACTATAAACAGTGGACCTCTCTGACCCCTATACCATTCCATGCCAATCAACATTGTAACAGTGTATTGGGCTAATTGACTTAACCTTTTACTGCAATGGGCTAAATTAGGGTCACACAGAGTGTTTCTTGGTAGTCTTAAACAAATCTACATTGAAACAAATCCAACGTATACACCTCACACACATGGTTATGGGCTTAAAAAAAAGAAGACACCTGTACCGTGTCAAATATAGAGTTGAAATGTATTACATTTTGAGATTGCATCCCAATATTACAATTTATATACATCACAGAAGACTGAAATATAACAAAACTGTTTAACATACACTACCAGTCCAAAGTTTTAGAACACCTACTCATTCAAGGCTTTTTCTTTATTTTTACTATTTTCTATATTGTACAATAATAGTGAAGACATCAAAACTATGAAATAACACATATGGAATCATGTAGTAACCAAAAAAGTGTTAAACAAATCAAAATATATTTTATATTTGAGATTCTTCAAATAGCCACCCTTTGCCTTGATGACAGCTTTGCACACTCCTGGCAATCTCTCAACCAGCTTCATGAGTTAGTCACCTGGAATGCATTTCAATTAACAGGTGTGCCTTCCTAAAAGTTAATTTGTGGAATTTCTTTCCTTCTTAATGTGTTTGAGCCAATCAGTTGTGTTGTGACAAGGTATACAGAAGATAGCCCTATTTGGTAAAAGACCAAGTCCATATTATGGCAAGAACAGCTCAAATAAGCAAATAGAAATGACAGTCTGTCATTACTTTAAGACATGGGTAGGTCAATACGGAAAATGTCAAGAACTTTGAACGTTTCTTTAAGTGCAGTCGCAAAAACCATCAAATGCTATGATGAAACTGGCTCTCATTTACATTTACGTCATTTAGCAGACGCTCTTATCCAGAGCGACTTACAGTTAGCGCATACATTATTTTATCGAACCCACAACCCTGGCGTTGGAAACGCCATGCTCTACCAACTGAGCTACATCCCCTGCCGGCCATTCCCTCCCCTACCCTGGACGACGCTGGGCCAATTGTGCGCCGCCCCATGGGTCTCCCGGTCGCGGCCGGCCACGACAGAGCCTGGATTCGAACCAGGATCTCTA